TAAATGTATGCATGCCTAATGGGTACATGAGACAGCAGTTGTACCAGATAATACAGCGTCTAATAAATGCCCTGTCTGTATAGAGCAAGGCATGTTTTGAAACATCACCTGCTGTAAGTTAATAAATACTGCTTTAAATCCATGTACTTGTGACAAAATGGAGATGATTTTCTATTTCTGAGTCATCTGGGCAGCTTGCAAACTGAGCAACATGCATCCAGTACTCAAGTGGGATCTTCACAGATTTGATGTGCTGGTGAAATGCTGTAATGAAATTCAGTTGTAGAGTGAGCCTGTAGAGAGTCTCAAGAAATCAAAACAGTGAGATGGAATATCTCAGAATTTACAACTACCACATTACCACCCTTTTTCTATTAATCATAGAATGAGCCTCTGTATAGTTATTTGTATTCAGACACTTCTACCTTGTCACATATTTTTACCACCCATTGTGCCACAAAATGAAGCCCATTTACAAGTCACTCTCCTTCTGATTTGATAAATGTAACTGGCAAATGAGTGAGTCCTCTGAATGCCTTGTTTGAATAATTGAGCAGTACTCAATCAGACAACATTAGGCAGTGGTGGCAGCCCACCATCTCAAAATAATTACCATCTGACAACAGCCTACGCATGGATGCTGCCTCCACAGGGGTTCCACATTTAAGATCAACAGATTAACATCACCTTAACCTTATTCCTCGCATAAGTTTGAGTTTAGCACTCACAGAAACCTGCCTAGACCTCTCAGTGGGTGTCACTCATATCTGTGTAGAAATGTTCTTTCCTTGCACAGAGAATAAGTGAGCATGGAAAATTCAGGAAACATACAGAAAGAACAATTTTCTTCTTTCTGCCTCGTGTAAGTTAGGGAATCAAAATAATTAGAAATAGACAGGACGAGTCTGTGTACTGTGACAATCTTATCTCTCCTGTATAAGAAAACAGATTTACTTCAGTGTATCAGAGAGAAAGCAGCAGTCAGACTGCTGGGCTTTATTATTTTTGCTCTGATAATGTTCACAGAATGCCATTTACTTCTCTGGTTTTACTCATACACTTTAAGTATCTCACGTCACAAAGTTTAGTATCAACAATTAACCTAACTTAGATATCTTTGGACTATGTGAAGGAGCCAGAGTAACTGGACACCGACAGGTGATTGAACCAAGAACTTGCTTACAATGCAGCAGCAGTGCAAACCCCTGCACTACTACGCTGTGCCTTAAAGTGTATAATTTGTAACTGTGCAGCCTTTGTTAATGAGACCAAATTTCAAGTTTGCAGTAGCCCATCATCAAGAAATTGTAAGTTACTCTCTTCCAAAACTATTTAGATAAAACCGATTGTGTGCACCATTCATGGCAAACCAAAGTAAATCAAGAGACAAATTGTTATTTTAAATCATGTGTGGCATCACAAGTAAAAATAGCCCAGAGACAATAGGTACAGTGTATCAGAATGTAACTGCTAGTTATATTCAGTTACCACAGAACATTACTATTAATAATGGGAGTAATTGATACACAGATATTTGCTGCCCAGCTACTAGCACACAAGCACTACAATGTAATCCATCCATTATACAAATTTACCTCTGCCTCTTCCACAGTCTCGATATGTTCAAGCAGAAGCCTAGGCCCAGTAGAGTCTTTTATTATTTCCTGGAGAGTAATATCAAGTGTGTATTAGTTAGAAGGGTGTTTAGTGTTACTGTTTAGATGTATTAATATATTTATTTGAATGATATTTACTTGCATTTGGGGAATTGTCAATATAGATAGACGTTGTAAATTGCTTTGGAAGTGCTTTTTATGTGGATATTGAGCATTTTTGTGTGTGTGCAAGAAACTCTTTCTTTATCTGGTATGCACCAGATAGGATTAAAGTAGAGTAGAGATTATGTTAGTTGCATTTTGAATTGGTGTCTGGCTAGAGGGTTTGGCTAGAAATATGTTTTCTTGTGTTTTTTGGAAGAAGAAATAAATGTGCTTCATATTTCAAAACTCCTCTTGGACTTGTGACCTCTCACACTGAGACAGGGAGAATTTGGTACTTTAGATTTAGATACTGTATAGCTGCAAGTGGCTGATAATGGATTAGTATCTGACACCAGACATCGTGCCTAGAATATGTTTCTTTTTTATGGTATTGCCAGCATAGTGTGACAGTTATAAACTCCACCATTACAATAAACCAGCAACCTTTGTTTAAGACAGACTGCCTTTTCCCCTGACTTACTTCTTGTAATTGGGTTTTCACTTCATCTTCAACTAACTGGTTTTCCAGTTATTCCTGTGTGTTTCACGGTCTCTTGGGACAAGCTGTTAGAGAAGCATCTCTGATGTGACAACACAAAAACAGGAAAGCAGTTGTGTGACTGGATGAGTGCAGTGTTGCCTTCATGGAATGGGTCAGTAAGCGTATAGTACAACGTGACAGCCAGCTAGGCATATGTCTGTGCCAAAGTAGTGTCTGCGACTGAGGCTCGTTTACTCTAGCTACTGGATGTGATTGACAGTTAGGCCAAAGGGCTGTTGGCTCCTTCCTGATTTGCTTTTTCACTAGAGGTGTCCTCTGGGACTTGGAATTCATGTTACAGTATATCAGCAGAATAGCTCATGGCAGTAATGTGGATGAAAAGCAAACACAGGCTATCATCTAGTGTGGGATATGATAAAGTGCTCTAGTTTTTCATTAATTCATCTCACTGAAAATTAGAAACAGCAGAATTTTATTAAACAACAGACAGTTATTTAATTTGAAAACTTCCCTTTATTCATTTATTTATTTTTAATTTTGTAAATCATCATTGTTGCCATACAGCACACTTTGTAATTTAAAACAGGCCTAGAGCAAGACTTGTTAAAAAAATAAATAAATAAAAGACGTCAAAAGCTGTTAATGTAAAGAGGCAACAGCTCATTGCATGAACCAGATCATGATATCTATTTTTAACTGTTATTTCAGTGATGGCTTACAGTACAGTCAATACTGTGGTTAGTTAAAAAAACAACAACTAGTTTTAAAAATGATATGTGGAAAACAACTGTGACAGAAGTGGGGAGTTTTTGAAGCATTAACCTTTAACTTAGCAGCGGCTATCACATACATCTGTCCAAAATGCATGGTTTTTACAGGGACTGCTTGACAATCCTTGATGTTTCCGATCCTTTGAACACACAAAATCAAGAGCAGATATCCCTGCCGTGGGTAAATTAAAATGTTGACAAGAAAGGAAGAAAGGAGAATGTGCTCATGAATGGCATTCTAATGAACTACAGCTCCCTAGACAGAAAATTAGAATAAACAAGGCATATTTTTTTAACCACCATACTTCATCCAGGTGTCATAGCATATCATGTCAGTGTATAACTTCAGGTATAACGTGAGCATCTCTGTTAAAGATGTTGTTTTGAAACAAATTTTTATCCTTAGTTCTAAATCTGGCCTTGTTTCTGCTCCTGTGTTTTTTCATAGACATCCACCAACAGAGTCTGATCTAATATGTATCCCCACTCACTATTTGCACTACCTCTCCTAACTCCTATATGCAGTGTTTCAACTTCTTTTTAATAAACCAAAGTTTGACCCTGTGTCTGCTGAAAAATTCAGGCCCATTACCAACCGTTGTTGTCATCCAAGGTCTCAGAAAGAGAAAAAATAAATAAATATTTTATGTCAAGAAATATTACTGGAAATGAATGTATGAATGTAATGAATTTCATAAAACATTGAAAATCATCTATTTTGTATAAGAAAATGTTCAATAACTGTTTGAATTATTTAAGAGTCCGCTGTGCAGCCTTTGATGCAGCTCGGTAGTGTTTTAAAGTAAACACAATAATGAATTGGAGAGTGACTATTTTCAATCATCTCAAGGTGCCTGATTTCACCATAGCCATAACACACCGACGCCTAATATCATTTTGAACCATAGTATCCATTTTCATGAACTTTCATTAGCAAGTGAGTAAATAGTAAGTTCTGGCTATTAAACTTATGAAGAGAGTTATTCATGTTTTTACTGGGCTGCTTTTGGAGTATTCAAAATTCACAGAATATGAATTTTAATGAATTAGGGACCCAGTGAATTTCAGGCCAGTGTGTACTTTACTATCAAAGTTTTCTAGAAAAATTAGTAGTTTTAAAGTGCCGGGATAATTCATGGTACCCTGAGATTGAACCTGCTGAGTGTGTTTAGTTCGAGGAGGATACTGTGGTGTCCAGCACTAGCCCATTAGCTGTGGAGCCTTGCATCTCGTAGGCTGTAGGTGACCTCATGGAATCAGGGTTGTTTTGTGTAGATTCTACTCAAAGGATAACATTGCATTGTAGCAAGATGATCAAAGTTTTTCACCTCACCCAATCAGGTATTTCAATGTTGACCTGATCATTGCTAGTATAGAGTCACATAGGCTGATGTCTATGTCCGTATGCCAATGTCTTTTGTGCACTTACCAGAGTGTAGCTCACTTGCTTTTATCAGGTACTTTTACACTGAGTGATTCAGCCTCAAGTAGTCAGACTTATTACAGTTTAAATTTTTAATGCATGATCATTTACTTTACTTCTTATCTAGACTTGCCTGTTTGTGTGTCTTTAATAGTTTTGCTTTGCTTTCATGTCTCTTTCTGTGTTTTGGTATGTCTTTCCTTTGCACATTGTACCGCTAACCCCACCTAGATATATACATGGTGTTGCATTTATCTGCAGAGCCCATACATTCAGTATGCCCTCAGAGTGATGACTGTATTATCGGAGACAGATGGGCGATTGTCTCCTGCGACAGTCTACTTGACAGAATTATCTTTGAACTCTTAAATTACAAAAAAAAAGTCATAGAGTTCTGTTAGCCTGTGGCAGCTCAATCTTAAAGGTAATTTTTGGTTCACATAATGGAACAGCTGAACTTGAATGAAAATTTAAACTAGTGACCTGAAGTAGATTTTCTTAAAGAAATGGTAACGACCCTTGCTCTCTTTTTTTATATTTCTAAGTGTTGCGTGATGACTTCAGGCAGAATCCACAGGACGTGGTTGTGGCAGTTGGAGAGACTGCCAGTTTTGAGTGTCAGCCGCCACGTGGGCATCCGGAACCAACCACCTTCTGGAGGAAAGATAAAACTCGTCTTGACCTCAAGGACGACAGGATCACAGTAGGTTAATTCCCTTAGGGAGGGGACTCCTTTGCTGTTTCAGGACCTATACACTAAATCACATACTCAGCTACTCACATTAACCCGGAACTGTCACGGGGGTAAAGGACTTTGTATTGAACCGGTTCATTCTAGTTACAGGTGCCTTTTCTTCCTCAGGTCCGTGGAGGAAAGCTGACCATCTCAAATACCAAGAAGAGTGATTCAGGGATTTATGTCTGCGTGGCAGCCAACATGGTTGGGGAGAGAGATAGTGAAAAAGCTCAGCTCTCAGTTTTTGGTAAGAAGTCTGACACGCACATATGCTCGGTTCAGAAAATAATAGATCATAGCTTTTTTTTTTTTTTTTTTTGCCACCTACATCATTTAACCAGTATATCAAAAGTAAATTTCGCCTCTGTATTATCTTTCCTGCCGACATCCAGAAAGACCAGTGTTTGTGCAACGGCCAGTGAACCAGGTGGTCTTAGTTGACGAGAGCGTAGAGTTCAGGTGTCAAGTCCATGGTGACCCGTCGCCTGTGCTGCGATGGAAAAAAGAGGATGTGGATATTACTCGTGGCAGGTGAGGACTGTGACTGAATGTGTTTAGTGCACGTCTGTGTGCCATGTGCGCGTTCGTGTTTGTGTGAATGTGTACCGATGCTAAAACGATAATAGATAAATGTTTGAGGAGAGCTAATGAGTCCCATCAGGAAAATAAGTTTTAACATACTGTATTACTCATGGGAGACTTTAATTAGTCTGTCAAAAAATTATTTATTAGCTGCAGAGAATCTCATTTTTTTGCTGTTTGAACTCCTCGGCCAAAAAGCACATGAATGTCTGTCCTTTTGTTCTTTTTACTAATGCCAGCTTTGTACAATTCAATTGTGGCACAAAAGGCACTAAAAGAGATGGAAACACAATAGGATCCTATATACTGTCTATAGTATAAAGGAAAAAACTACAATAGCCTAGTAACTGGATATTCAGCTGTAATGGTGTTTATTTAATCATGTCATGTTTTAATCCAGTTTATGGTAATTTTGCAATGGATTGCATTATAATATGTAGTGTTCCTGCGATTTGTTCCACACATTTAGATCACATCATATGCATATGTGTGTATCACATAGGAGTATTCATTTTAAAAAGTTATTATTAGCCTATCATTGTTTGTCTTGTGCTTTATATGCTTTAAATATATGATCACTGTATAGAAACAGTGTGATTCAGTCACTACATTTCTCTAACTGAAGTTTGAAGTCTGAAGACTGATAAATTGTCATCGTCTGAAGTATGTAACTTACATCAGCTCGTCATTTCAGGCATTTTTCAAGGACTTTACAAGATGTGATATGAATCAGATTTTTATCACAAACTGTAACAGACAATTACATTTAATTAAATAAAAAAAAAACAACCATGGCAAGCATTCTGTCTAAACTATTTCATTATAAATATTATCAGCCTATCAGCGAGTAACTGCAATTATGCTAATTGCAACAGCAGTCTATAGTTATGACTGTTTAACTAGTTTATTTGTTTCTCTGAACTGCTTCTGAGATTCAATTTTGCAGCTGTAATGCAAAAATAATTATAGGTTTTGTTCTTGGAGATGTTTTCAATTACTTTTGGAGCTGCTTCGAAATTAATCAGCTATATTAGTTAATTAAAGCATTGAAGGGTATGTTTTCCTTAGCTGAAACATAGTAGTTCATCTTTTTTATACAAAAATGTGATTATTCATGTCGAAATGAATGCTGTTTAATGGCTTTATTTTTAAAAAGAAATAAACATGGTGTAAGCCATTAACACGCTATAAAGTGCCTCTGTGTTAGATTATATTTTGAGTTAGACTTTAACAACTGATTGCCGCCCTATGTCTGGCAGTCTGTCTGCTTACCTATGTTATGCCCTGTACCTCAGTACCCCCTGACTCCAGAAACATGTCCTACTTTCAGGCCTACCTCGCCTCACTTCCCTCCTTCAACTTCTTTCATTCTTTTCCGAAACCCACCAGCCTCTTGGGAAGTCTGTATCTGGGTCAGGGATGTGCTGTGAATGGAGTCCTCACCAGACTCTGGACAGACCCCACAACTCCCATCGATATTCCGCCCACACCCTTTGGAAGAGCTATTTCTGATGTGACTTTTTCTCACCCCTTGTGCCATTTCTCTGCTCGACTTGTCTCCCATCTTTGAATCAGTATGGCTGGCTAGACAATTTCACAGGATCGCTCACGCCAAAAGGGACCCGAGAGAGGGAGAGCCCGACTCCTTGCTCCTTTACTCATTCTGTCTGTAGCCCCTATGAGGCACTTATCTAAACTCTGGTAGCTTAGATGTTTCTCTCACTCTAACTTCAGTGATGCTGACTTACAGTATGCTGCACTGGTGGATACACACTGATGCATGGAACATCTCTATGAATTAGTCATTTCTTACTGCTCAACTCATTCATCATACTCTGTTTGTCAGACTATGCCACTCCCTTATTCTCAGACTGTTTGTCTATCTCTTCCTCTCTCTCTCTCTCTCTCTCTCTCCCTCTGCCTTTCTGTCTTTTTTCGTTGCTCTCTTCCACACTCATACACTTAGACACACACACACACACGTAAGTATACTGCACAGCCCACACCACAGTGGGTGGTTCGTCATTATAAATATTGAAAAAGTGGAACAGTCAGGGTTCCAGCTGAAAGCACCTTTCATTTTGCCATGCATTCATCGCAATATAATTACTTCCCTTTTTCTAGCACTGTAGAAATTGCCTTAGAAAGTCTGCCTGTAATGTATCAAAAAAAAGGACACAACCCTTTTAAAGCTTCCATCTGAAACATCACACGGTAGTTTATACAACAGCAATTTGATATCATTGTTTGTTTGTTGTTTTTACACTACACTTTAAACGTGAGATTTTTAATTTGCATATAACCGTTATCATGCTTCCAGCTTTATTAAATCAGCTGGGAATGTTACTTGACTTGCTGTCACTGTTCCTCTCTGTCACCAGGTATGACATTAGATATGAAAAAGACGACTTCCTTTTGAGGATAAAGAAAGCATCAGTGATTGATCAGGGAACCTTCACGTGCCTCGCAGAGAACCGTGTGGGTAAAACGGAGGCCTCCGCCTATCTGACTATCAGAGGTGGGTAACTGGTTGTGGACTCACACTTGGCAAAGCTCATAACCCATCCCTAATATTTTTTTTTTTGTATCTCCCAAAGCAGGCCACAGGACAATCAGTCCTTTATTGCCCACTTTATGAGCATTATTGCCCCCCTGCTGAAAGGCTAGGCCTGGCCTCAGCTTTTCTTTCATACAGTGGGCTGATGTAGTTGATTGCTCTAGATCTCCAGCTAGGCGCCAGATATGAACAATCTTACCAGCTTTAAGTGAACTTTTATGACCTCTCCTGGGGGGCTAATTCTCCATCCAGCCACTCACTCCATATTTACACCTTATCAGTGGGAAGAAGCTGTTTCATCTTTGAAAAGCTCAAGCAAAAATTAAGCCAAATTCAGACCAATAACATTATCTCCGTTTTTCGTTTTTCTCTTTCCTTCTTTTTTTATGCATGAAAAAACATTGTTGACAGAGCTAAAAGGGGATACTCATTTGCATACACTCCACATATTTGTTCCTGGACTCTACTGATGTAGCTTCACGTGACTCAAACATCAAAATAATCCTTATTTTTCTTGTACTTGTCCTTGGTGTATTTTCTCCGCTGCCTAAAATGAGTTGGTTTAGCTCTCCTTCCTTCACTTTAAGCCAACTTTCTTTTCTTTTTTTTGTGTGTCCCGTTTGGATCTTTAGCCATCAGAATTGTTGTCTTAAGGCCAAGAAA